TTCATAACGAGATGTAGGACAACTAACAAAAACCTGCCAAATTGGTGACAATACAGTTTAACTGCTTATGCCAATCTCCCAGCCCATTGGCTGCCCTTAGTAAGGTGTAACAGTCACAACGCCTCCCCAATTAGATTTTGAACTTCATTCAAAAGGAAGTGAGCTGCCATAAAAATGTTCCACAATCCTACAGGTTGTGACCTGGCTTCTGTGACAATCCCATGTGAAGCAACACTACTTATATGAATCTTAATGTGCCAAACGATGTTGACTATTGTGCTGTGTTGTTGTTTTTTAAATGTATAATTGCATTGTTACACCCACGGTGAGTGAAATCAGTGAGCAAACTCAACCAATGAGCAAACTCAAACATTTGTTCAGACAGCTGCAGTAGCTGAGGTTATTGCTTTTACTGGCTGTGTCTGACCATTCCAAGTATTGCAATAGGGAGAGAATAGCTATTCTGTTTGTTTGATGGATATGTTAATAGTACCGAATATAGAAAGTGATAAAGATTGCACATTGTATTGCACATAATATTTCAATTCAGTGTTAATGACAGTAGGTATTAACACACATTCTGGCCAATGAACACCAACAGAGGAGGAGGATTCTCATGTCTAAATGAGTCACTGGCTGTAGTGTGATGAATGCCAATGTGGGTAACCATGTCTTGCTCACTTAGCTGTTAAAGAAGTAATTCTGTTCTTCCCATATAGTGCAGACATTGCTAATACCAATAACATTTCTTGTTGGAAGCTATCTGGTATCATGCATGATTTTTTACCAATTAGTCAGGAAGTGAGACCTATATTTCTCACCCTGTTTCTGTTAGGAGGAAACACACTTCTTTTTCCGTTTATTTCTTGCCTAGGCTATTTCTTGCTAGGCATATAGGCTATTTAAAGCAGCTCTGTTACTCAGGCCTGTCAGCCTCTTAATTCAATTCTGTTTTAGTTCCCAAGTCTTCTGAATATATTTCTGGTTCATCTTTTCACTCTTCCTGGTGGGGTAGCTCCCCACCTAGGGTTGCCAATTATGCGGTAATGGTTGGGAATCTCCTGTTGATGCTCCCTGTATACTCAGTGGGAGTGGTGCCATGACACTACAGGAATTTCAAAAAAACCCTCTGTTCTTTAGCCACAGAAAATAGAGATTTTTTTTGGAGGGGGTTGCATTGTGTGTGTGTGTGTGCTCGCATGTGTGTGCCCATCCTTGGAAGTCATAGCAACCTCTGGTGACCCCTACTGGGGCATGGAGGATGTTCAGAGAAGTGGCTCTGCCTCCTGGCTCTGGTGTTTTCTGGAGGTCTCCCATCCAAATACTTGCCAGGGTCAGCCCTAGCTTAGCTTCCGAGATCTGATGAGATTGGGCTTGCCTGGGCTATCCAGGTCAGGGCTAAAATAGAGATTTTTGAAATTCCTAGGGCATCATGCCATCACTTCCAAGGAGTCTGTGTCCCTAATGCTCCCTAGGGTTGCCAGCCAAGGGCTGGCGTCCCTACCCCCACCCACATCTGTCGTATCAGTTGGGGTCATTGCCACATAGCACCGTGAAATAACTATATGTTTTCCATGGGCAGAGACACATTAGATTGATTTGAAAAGGAAAGAGAAAACCAGCATATGTTAAAATCAACTTCTATTGTTGAGTTGGGCATGTTGAAATAAAGTATTCCAAAGTACAGTGTGATAATGTGAACACTCCCCACAATTAATCCATAGTCTTGATTTTTGTACTTTTCTCTATGTTTAGTATATAAATTATCCCATCCTTGACAGGTTTTAGGCTTTTCTGACTTTTTTTTTTTTTAAAGAAAGCTTATCTATTATTAGAGGAACAAAGTACAGCTGTGAAGGCTTTTAATTATAAGAACTTTGTCTTTGGCTGTCTTTTCCCCCCTTACCTTATTTGTCATATTTCAGCTGAGTTTTCAGCACAAGATTGGGATCCTGTATTGCAAAGCAGGCCAAAGCACAGAGGAAGAGATGTATAACAATGAGATAGCGGGACCTGCTTTTGAAGAATTCCTTGATCTCCTTGGTCAGAGAGTACGGCTGAAAGGCTTTAATAAATACAGAGCTCAGCTAGATAACAAAAGTAAGTTTGAATGAAACAAAAAAAAGTAGTAGTGAGTCCTGAATTTGTGTTTTGATTTTCTGAATTGGAATTGTAAACTACGATATGTGCCTGGCTTGTTAACTGTAACTTGTTGTGATTTCTGAATGCAGAAATTCTTTGTTTTGGAACTCCACCACTCTCAGCCTGTTACGTTGAGAACTGGAAGCAGAGAGTAACAGAAAACTTTACTGCTCCAGCTGAGTAGGACTATAGAGGGTACCTTCTCAGAAACTCTATCCCTCCTTTTCTCTGCCTCCTGTCCCCCCCCCCCATATACACACTGGTGATGACTCACCAAGAAGTGATGTGCTTCAGAAAAGTCAGACTCTCCGGAAGGGGGAGGAGGACTTTTTTTTTTAAATCTGTTTGAAAGTTAAATGTTCAGGAATCCAGTGAAGCATCTAGGATACATATATAGCAATGCTTTACCAGCAGTCTGGCAATGGGAAGGAGCTCTGGATAACATCTAGGGATTCAGCTTGGAGGCAGGAAAGGTGGTAAGCAGTAGACTAACAAACGCCTTATTGTGACATCTGAATGTAGTCAGGGAGGCCAGATGCTATAACTACAGGACGCTCCTGTTTCCCTAACTAAAAGTAATAAATGGTCAGGGTGTATGTGTATGTGTATGTTAGTGCTGTGGTTATACTTGCTTACCTGTAGCTAATTTTTAATTGCCGCTGGTGACCTGTTGAACTGCCTAATTATAAGTACAAAGTAGGATGTATGCCGTGAGGAGGAGTTTTTGTAACATCACATAGATTGGTTTAGATCTGTCTTGAATTAAGGTAATCTTTCCTAGAATTGAAAATGGAAACATAGTATGGTTCCATTTGTGTACTGTATTGATATTATTTTTGCTGATCCACTTATAATCATATTTATTTTCAGCTGATTCAACTGGAACTCATTCCCTTTATACTACCTACAAAGACTATGAAATAATGTTTCATGTGTCAACTATGCTTCCCTATATGCCTAGTAATAGGCAACAGGTATGTCTCCTTAAATCAGTTTTTGGAATATGCTCTTTTCTGTCACATCTGCATATTGTTTTGTTTTTGTAATCGCCTGTCAAATTGTTATGAATAGGTCTTCGGAACTGTGATTATGATTTAATTTGATCATTGTATGTTACTAAAATACAATGTTAAAGTGTTTAACTTTAATGTTAATTATTGTGGTACATTGCCATATTCAATAGTACAATATTTCTGGAAAGTTAAACATTTTTGGTTTGAAAACCAACTTAATCTAGCCTAGGGCTGCCAACCTCAATGTGGGGCCTGGAGATCTCCCAGAATTCCAGCTGATCTCCAGATGACAAAGATAAGTTCTTCTGGAGAAAATGAGGTAGCTTTGGAGGGTGGACCCTATGGCATTATACCTTGCTGAGGTCTTTCTCCTCCCCAAGCCCCACCCTTCCCAGGTGCCCCCCTCAAAATCTCCAGGAATTTCCCAAACCAGAGTTGGTAACCCTAATCTAGTTTCATAATGTTTGTGTTTAAGTATATGCATGTGAAGATGCAGGGAGGTACATTTTAATTTTTAAACCATTATAATGTACAATTTCAATAGTCTAATCTCTTATTTATGTAGTAACACTTTTATGCAGATAGAAAAGACTGCACTATTCAGAAAATACAATTATGTGTGAAAATATACATCAATATGCTTGTTCAGAATATCTCAAAACATTAAGGATGGCTAAACATTATACAGCATCAGAAGTTTTATAAAACCCTGAGGTACACACATGAATGAAAGAAGTTAATGGGGTTTTGCTGTTGGCATCAGTGGGGTTAGAATTACTGTTTTTGTAAGGTTAACCCTGTCTTTGCCTGTACTAGCTGATGAGATAAAATCTTTGGCACAAAAATGTTTCATAAATGAGGTTATTTATATGTATAAACATACTGTTCCAGAGTTCTACAGGCACTCAAGAACACACCTAAGTTCCTGTGTATGAAAGTCACTGGGCTAAAGTAATTTTTCAACATAATATAAAGATATTAAAATATTTTGGATGAGAAGAGGTATATTTATGAATAGAAAGGCCATCCACAAATTAGATTACTGATGTCAGTGTAAAGTTCTGAATGTTAGTGTGTCTTCAAAGAAGAAACAATACTATTTGTTTGTGATAGTTTCTCCATATACATAAAAGGAAAAATCTTACGTACAACTTGAGATGGGGTCAAAAAAGAGCTAAAAATGTAGTTCTGTTGTAGTTTTTGTGTATCTTGACTGCTTTCAACCTCCAGTAAAGATGTATAAAAACTAAAATAGTCTTTGTAATGGCAATATATGAATTAATTTTAAAATGAAGGAAGGTGGCAAACTGTCAAAGGGACATTTACAAAGTTGGACCAGTTTTCTTTTTATTATCACCACTCTTTCTGTATCATTATTTGATACAGAGCAAAAGAAAATCATAACAAATTGTGATGATGCAAACGGCTTTCTGATGAAAACGCATTACTGTTTAAAGCAGTGCTAGAAATCACATGTGAAAAGACAAACGTCTTCCATAGTTCATCATACCTATAAAATTCAGGACCTTTTGGACCAATTACAGGGATATAGCAGCTATTTCATAAATACATGAAAGTAGTCATACTTTAAATGGCCAAAGTAAATATATATAGTTATACCAGGTTTCCTGTGTAGGTCATTTTTGTTTATTTGTTTGTTTTGTTTTCTTGAACAATTTGTATCTCTCCCTACAGCCCAAAGGCTCTTGGGGCAGCATAATAAAATATAAAACATACTACAACCCCACCCAAACCCACATCAAAAACTATTTAGAACAACAGAAGCATAAATGCCAATTAAGAGTAGCTCTGAACAGCTCCCCACAGTCCACATTAAACACAAATAGAACAAATGAAACACTAGAGTAATAAATGAATGCCTTAAAAACATATAAATTAATTAACAAATAATGCCAAAGCAGGAATGAAATCACAAAAAACAGAAAAAGTTATGTTCAACGGAAATCCCAGGTGAACAAGAAAGTATTTATCTGGCAGTAGGAATACATTTGGCTTGAGAGAAGCTCATTCCAAAGTCATGGTGCCATAACTGAAAAGACTACTTCTAGGAGCAGTCAATTTCACATCTGCTTCCAATGGAGGGTAAAGCAGGGCTTGTCAAGCATATCTTATTTGCCAGGATGCATAAAATAGACTTTACCATAGAGGCTCACAGGAAGCTCAGCATCACATAAGTTAGTTTAAAACCCTTTGTAATCATTTGAGGTCTGCTGCAACTAGTAAAGATAATGGGTGGGATCCAGTGATGTTCGTGGATCTTCCCCACATTTCCCTCACCACTGCAGCCATTTCTGACCCTGGAAAACATGCTTCCTGGGTTTGTGGGATCCACGTGGATAATAGTCAAGCACGTCAGTGAGAAGAAGTGGGAAGGGTGAGGACAGCAAAATCACTCCCGCTGACATCAGCTGAACTGTAGTGATGGAAGAAGAAGGGAGAAATTTCACCCCCTTCCCCCTTGCTGCAGCCCATTAACTCACAAAAACTGTTACTTCACATGAGTCTCACAACCCCAGGAATTAACATTTCAGAGTTCCCTGACTTTGAAATGAATTCCCCTATGCCTTTTTTCTGGGCCATGGAAAAGTGAGAAGGTTGGCTTGTGCAAGGATCACAAATGGCTGGATCCCACCTGATTAATTAAATATTTGAAAGTTATTGCCAATATTCTTATCACATAGTTCTATTTTTCTGCAAAGGTTTCGTTTCCTTTGCTAACACACAGCATACAGAATGCATTGGAAAAACATTTCAGAAGCTGTAATCTTATCTGTGGATGGTTTAAATTGCAGCTGTCATTTGGTATGGAAAATGGCATATACTTGGATAAGCTTGATTTTGAGTAAATACTTGTAGTTTGTGGTCACAGGCAATGACAATAAATAGTGACCTTACTTGATGTTGAATGTTTGTCTTTGTCTTGGATTTGCTAATTGGTACAGGAAATAACCTTTTGCCCTGATCCACCTTTTCTGGAATTGTATATTGTCTGTCACCCACACCTTTGCATTTGCTCAGCCACCCATACTGCTATTCCATGTTCTTATTTTTGCCTAAATCTTTTCCTAATATCCCTTATGTGTCTTCTTCTATAGAGAAAATAAAGGCTCTTCTTGCTTTATTATCAAAATATTCCAGCTCTAATTCCATTATTTTCCCAGTAACAACCACACCCTTCCACAATGTTTTAATAAACACTCATCATCAGTCTTTGTATCTTGGACAGTCTTGGTATTTTTAAGAGTAATATCGCACTATGTTCATTCCTGGGATAAAAATAATGTGGTAGTTTTCCAAATTTGAATACTATTGAGATATGAAGACCCACCACATTATTTTTTAAAATGATGCTGGATACCAGCAGTACTTGCACAGCATGGACACTTTTCCATAAAATGTAATAAGCACACTCAAGTGACCACATTTAGCCAACCTTAATGTGTAGAAGGAATAGCTAATGAATGTTTAGCTTCTCTTTTCACTGTTATCTTTATGCACTGGAAAGAATCCACATAATATAACTTTTCTTGCTGAGGCTTATTTGAAGTTTAGCACCACAAATTTAGTTACTTATGTCCTCAAGGATAGACATACTAGCAATGTGATGTAGAAATTTTGTTTTGCCTGTAAGGCTTGTCTCATTTCATCCATATAGCCAAGCAGTGAGTACTTTCTGTAACAGGCTGCATTCAAACTTCACAACAAACCTCTGTTTTGTTTGTTAACAGCACTCTTTTCTATCATCCCCCACTCATCTTTTCATGCACGAACACAAGTAAAGGCTTGCAGATTTCAGATTCCAGAATCTCAATTTGTGGAGAGGAAACAAGCTCCATTTTGCCCCAGCATCTGCATTTGGATAGCATAACAAATTGGAGCTTGATTCAATGTTTCTCAAAACACGAAACCATCAACCATGCTTGGAACATAAGGAGGGCACACAGGTGGGAGCTCATGAGTAACCTGTGTTTGTGCTTATTAGAGGCAGGGGTTTGTTGTGATGTCTGAGTATGGCTGTAGAGTGAAATGACATCTACAAGCCTAGTGTTGTCACAGTGAAGTAAAGGTTATACATCCGTCTACATCCATGGTACTTAGCCACTTACTATGAGCATAGGGTTGCCAACAGACCTGGGGAAAGCATCCTGTCCTGTTTAATATAGGCTTAATATGTGGAAATGGGCAGCTGAAGCATGGAGGTAACTGGCATCTTTTGGTAATTAACATTGCATCAAGCCTCTGTTGAAGGGACAGGATATTATTTTTCTCCAGGCAGTTGGTAACCTTTTATCAGCACTATCTCCAGTGAGCAAGGAGTGAGCATTTGTTAGAATCCAGTTACTTGCGAGCCAGAAATAGGGCACACCAGAAATGTTTGTTGCTTTTTCTAGGAAATAACTACGCCCTGCTTGGTCACTGATCAGGACATCCCTCTAGTTTTAGAGCCAGCAGGAGATCCAAACACTAAGGTAATTTTTCACTTTGGCTGCCGTATAGAGTGGGGAGCCCTCATTCAGTGTTCTGATCAGAACGGAGAGCACTACCCACTCTGGTGTGGCCAGCACCACCTCCTTGTATTGGCTTTCCTTATAAATCATACTTAAAGGCTTTCCCTGTTGAACCCTTACCCTTATAAACACCCTTTCAGATCATTTCCTTGCAAGATTTCCCTTCACACTTACACCATTTGCTTTTGTTTCCTTTGGTCAGACCTGATTAATGCAGAACTATTCTCCAAATGTAGTTTTATCTGATTTAAATAAAACAGATTATTTTCTTAAGGCTGAGGTAAACCACTATGGCAATGTTTGGAATGTGCCCAATTTTAATCAGGTCTGATTGAAATACGTGATGTTTATATGTGTAAATATTAACAAGTTATAATTAAAATAAAACCACTTATTTTATGGCTGAACTAAAATAAGTTTGATAGTTTCCTTGTGATGTCTATTCATATTCCACTATTAAATTGAATGAAGAAAGATATAGTATGATTTATTACAAGATATTCTTGTTACTTTAGCTTCAATGATTGAGGTTTATGAAAAAAAGATTATTATGGTATCAGTGCCAGTGTACCTGTAGTAAAGCAGCTTAGAAATATTGGAAAGAAAGGTTTAAGTCTTACACTTCCTTATACATCAAAAACAAATAACCAGGTAGATAATGACCTTGAACTTACGGCTAGTAAATCCAATTTCAAATTACCACAGACAGAGGAGAAACTATTTGTATGAGCCTGGATTGTCCTGTATTTTGAGGGACAGACAGGGAGATATGCAAGTTAAAGGCTTTAGTTTAGATTGATCATATTCAGTAGAGGCTTCTGAAAATACAATAGATTCTACTTAATATTCTCTTTTGGCATGGCATGATATAGTGGATAGAGTGTTGGACCAGACCCGAGTTTGAATCCCCATTTCTATCAGGGAAACTCACTAGATGACCTTTGGCCAGTCATATTGTCTTAGCTTAAATTACCTCACAGGGTGGTTATTGTGAGAAAATGGAGGAAGGAGAATGATACTGTGAACTGCTTTGGGGCCCAGTTGGTGAGAAAAATCAGATATAATTAAATAAATGCAAATGCATCAAACAGACACCCATTTATGGAAATCTCATTAATCTAATAAACTGTTATATCAACATTTATGAACTCATTTTAATATGTTTAGATTGTGATCCTAAGATTCTTACAGCGCAGTCCTAAGGCGAGTAGCACCATTTAAAATCCATTGAAGTCAATAGGCTTAGAAGGGCATGACTTTACTTAGGATTGCACTATTAATTGCAAATAGTGTCTGTGTAGATTAGTGGTGAGAGTCCAGCTATTCTTCTACTGCATGAAGAATCACTTATGTTGGAGGAAGACTTCTTAGGCTGGAGGAATGTTTCAAACTTTGCTGAGCACAGTCAGTAAATCTTACTTCTGCATGCATGTGTTTAGCACTGAGTTGATCGTACTAACATTATTGACCTGCTGACAGAGTATAAGAAAATTACAGCATACTTACAATGTGGCATGTGTACTAAACTAAGAATTTCTATTGTTCTTGGTTAAATGTTCCATTATGGCTCAAAGTATGGTAGAGCAGTAAATAAACAGATTGAACATATCTGAAATGCAGAGATGAGGACAAAGAGAAATTCAAGGGGAAATATGACTGATTCATTAGTTGGAAAATAAAGTTGTATAGGATGCAACAAATACCCAGGCTTTGTTCAGAGGTAACAACAAGCCATAGTTTGTTCTTAAAGAAAGTAGTCCACAGTAATTCTAAGCCTTGAAAATTTTTGGCTTACGCATTTGTTGACATTTCATCCTAATTTGGAATCCTAGTTTGTGGGCAATTTTGTCTGAATTAGTTGTGATGGCAAACTGTGGTGTGTTGGGATTGCAGAACTTCTCAATGCTTTCCTCAGTATAATTTATTTAATTGAACTATTATTCTCCCTTCTTCCATAAATAAAACACAAAGGCATTATGTCTGAGCCACCTGTGAGAGTAGAAGGAAGATACATAAGCCTGAGGACATCCAGGGTTCATTTCCAGAGTTCATTATGGCCTGTCTTAATTTGTTTAATTTCTAAACCAGTATGTTTTTCCATCTCTAGAAAGTATGTTTTTGTTTTCCTTTTTCTCCATTCAATTTTATTCCATTTTACAACTGTACCAGGATTGTCTTTTATGGTGCTGTTCATCAACAATGTAACTCTCCTTTCCTGTTCCTTACACTTTTAACCTGATGTTTATAATCATGCTTGGACTTATCACAGGTTTGCCTTCTTAATGTTATGTGGAATCAGATGTTACTGATTATAATCCTTCTGGTAGTGTTATGTTGAATTTATTTTTAAATGTTGGACATAACTCAGACCTATCTAGGTTGGTAAGGTTTTTAACAAATGAATTCCCAGTTTTTGAACTATTTCAATAATTTATTCAGTATGCTAAATTTAAGATAATAGAAAAATATCAACCACGTTAAGCAACAAAACACATTCGAATATCTATTAAAGTTCCTGAAAACAGATGAGTAGTTGCCAAACTTTTTGGGTCCATCCCTTTAGTTCCACAAACTCATTCCCAGTGCCCCTTACCCTACCCTATAAAAAGCATTATTCAGAATAGTGGTTTATACAACCCACTAAGGACAATAATAACAAATTCAAAACAGTAACTATTAATTGCATATTTATTCAGAATCCAACTGAAAGTTTTTCATTTAATTTATTCAACAAAACTGAACTTAATCCAGTAATACCAGTTTTTCTAAGTCTGGTAGTCCTTTAGTAACCACTGTTCAGTAAATTCTTAATGCAATGGGTAGGCTTGATTCAGTGATGCCACTTTCCCAATGTCTGATTTAAACCTATTTAGTGAGAGTCATCACTCAGACGTATCTTCATGTAGCATACCCAAATAGTCACAAAAAACTTGCAGATCATCAACTTGTATTGCACCTTTCTCTTCTAGCTCAGATGAGCTCAGAAATTGGTATAGCTCACGACAGCCTATATTGTGTTTGAACAGAGTTTATTTTAAAATAAAGGTAGAAATGACATATTTGACCATAATAAGACTGACCTCATTTCCTTGCAACTGCAAATTAATTTCATTGAACTTTGCAAACAGTTCTGAAAAATAAGTAATGTCATGCTTGATCTCTTAGAGTTCATCACTGAGCAAAGCATTTGTGTCTTCAAAAAACTCCACAACAGTGTTAAAAAGGTTGTAAAAGCATCTCACAAAGTTGCCTTATGATGATATGATGATGATAGTGTTAAAAAGGTTGTAAAAGCATCTCACAAAGTTGCCTTATGATGATATGATGATGATGAGTTGCCTTTTGATAGCCAATAAACTTCAGTGTTAAGCAGCAAATGTTCAAAGTCTTCATCATTCTCAACACAGAGCTTCTGGAATAGTTGGCTATTGAGAACATGGCTTTTAATTTTATTTTCTGCAATAATGACAGTGTGTTATGAATTGTGCTGGTGATCACTGAGGTGCAACCAGGTGTTGGAATGCTATTTGCCAGCATAGTGCCATAGCCTGATCAATCATAAATAAGTGACCAACACAGTTTAAGTGGCCTACCTCCAGTGCCCCACCCCACCCCCTTGCCTCTTAGCACTCCCTAAGTCAGTCAGTCAGTCAGGCATTTATTATGGCAACAAGCCATAGAACACACATGCTTAAATATAACATTCATAAAACTGAATTTAGGACAGAAAACTCTATAGGAATACAGTTGAGTGTAATAAAATAAAGGAAAGAACATAAAACAGAGACTATTAGGCAACTATTATTATATTTCGGATGCAGTAGCATGCTAACCAAAATTTTAAATCGAGCCTCCAAAGCGGGGGTTTACCTGCCCCCTGCCACCACTTGGCAGCCCTAATTGGCATCTCCATTGACTTATGCAGAGATTGCCCACCAGGGTGACTAATGCCATCTGTGTCAAAAAAAATGGACCTAAACCAGTTACCATATTGGTAGGTCATTCTTCCTGGGGAAGTAATGCAATAGCTTGTATCCCACAAAAGGTACATAAGGTACAGATGGAATGGTGAGTATTTGCCCCCTCCCATGGCAAACCTCACATTCCCCCTTCTTGCTGTTTCTGAGTTTTTCCTGTCCCCCAGCAACAGTAGCAGAGAGAGGCAAAAAAGTCCTTTCAGTAGATATTTTTGGCAGGATCCAAGCCAATATGTAATTCATAAGAACATAAGAGACGCCAATGTCAGAAATGGCCAAAGGCCCATCCAGTCCAACACTCTGTGTCACACAGTGGCCAGAAATACCAGTGCCATCAGGAGGTCCAGCAGTGGGGCCAGGACATTAGAACCCCTCCCACTGTTGACCCCCCCCAAGCACCAAGAAGACAGAGCATCACTTGCCCCAGAGCCCCTAGCTATACCTTGTGGCTAATAGCCACTGATGGACCTCTGCTCCATATGCTTATCTAATTCCCTTTTGAAGCCGTCCATGCTTGTAGCACCCACCACTTCCTGTGGCAGTGATCCATTCCTGTGGCAGTAATCCATTTTCAATATCTAAGTCAGAAATCTATTTTTATCATCAACAACAATTTCTTATATAGTTTCTTTATTGATAATGTAAATGTGTTGCACATGCATATCCAAAGGATCTGATGGAGGCATTCTTCATGTGCACTAGATAGAGCATCTGAGACCTCCTTTGTACCAGGACCCTGCATACACATCATGACCAAGTTCCAGAAATTCTGTTGGTTTCTATAATGCTGTGAGTAGCTGCAGTTGGAAAGAAAACCAGAGAAGCCTTGGTGAACACAGTGAACTGTTTCAGTGTATTCACAGGGATCTTTATATCCTTATCTTTTCCCACTGCTGTATTCAAATGCAACTGAAATTACCCTGGTTATGATAAACAATGTTAAGGGGTAAAACGCTTGTTACAGATATTAAGAATTTTATATTAGGGATAGAAACAATATGTTGCCTCAAGAAAATGGATGGCAACAAATAATTGATTGGCAGTAAGCCTGTTTTTTTGCATGCCTTGAACACGTGATGCTGCTTTACAGTGGGTCAGAACATAAAACTTTTGTCTACTCTGGTAACAGCTTCATGCTGCATGTTTGAACATGTGTACACTAGAATGGAATTTGTGAAAATTTGATGGTTTAAATAAAAAACTGGTAAAAACCTTGAAGGCTGTGTTGTGTAAAATGGGATGGGTGACTACAATAAAATGTATTGTGGCCAAGTATCTTACGTGCCATCTTCAAATTCAACACTGTTTATTTCAGGTATAGCTTATAACAGGTCTCAAGACTAAACAATGCATCGCTTTTTAAAAAAAGGACTTCCACTTTAGTAGTTATTTTTTCCAGTAGATGTAAATGAGATTCACTGTGGTCAGAATTAACTATTTTAATGCTTATTTTTGCATTTAGCTTCTAAGGAAAAGGCATATAGGAAATGACATTGTTACCATTGTCTTCCAAGAGCCTGGAGCACTTCCTTTTACTCCAAAAAATATTCGTTCTCATTTTCAACATGTGTTTGTCATTGTTAAAGTCCACAGTCCTTGCACAGAAAATGTGTGCTATAGGTGAGTACAGGTTTCTTGATAACTGACTTGATTTTCTTTAAAAATTGCTGTGATTTTCAGTTTGTCATTTCCTATGCAACTGTATGCATTTAGAAATGTTAATAATTAGTAACATTTAGGTATGTCACAATATTATTTAGTACAAATATTTTGTGCACGTCCATTGGAAGGTGATAGTCATTTTTTGCTCTGCGGTCCATGTTATTCAAAGTGAAAGGAACAAGTTCCTTGATTAAACAGGAGCCTAGTCCTGTTTTATTTATCTTGATCACTCAGGCAGTAGAGAAAAGTGAGGAACCGGAGTCATAATTGAAAAGTGAGGAGCCATAATGAATCATAATTGAAGTCTGGCCACATCAGGAAATTACTGTAGTAGTAACGTAGTATAAGACATTAGACTGTAATAGTAACGTAGTATAGGAATGTAGTAGTCATTTTAGGTGTATAGCATAGTTGCACTCGTAACAAATGCTGACTAACTTAGCATAACTAGTGAATGGTCTCTGACACAGAAAGTTGCACTCATAACAAATGCTGATTAACTTAGCATAACTAGTGAATGGTCTCTGTAGTTTTCTTGATAAAAACCAGGGCTCTAGTCGAGGGGGAGCTCTCAGGTACGGAGCTCCGGAAGAGAACCTCTAGGGGGCGGGGCGGTCACGTGGTGAAGCCCCGCCCCCTTCTTTACCCCGCCCTCTGCTTCGATCCTCATTCCGTTTGGGAATGAGGATGAAGCAGGAGGGTAAGTAGCCGGGCCTTCTGACACACTTCCGGTGATGTCAGGGGGCGTGGCATATGCAAATAAGTTATGCTAATGAGTTATGCTAATGAACTCCGGCAGCTCTTTTTCTACAACAAGACCCCTGATAAAAACTGAATGTTACATGATTACATTTCACTGTCTGCTTCATGTATTTCATGGCTCTTTGACCCTGATGTCTGTTTGTGTTTCTTACCACTGCAAAAAATAACTATCTGAAGAAGTAGGCTCTAGTTCATGAAAGCTTATGCTGTTTGTTTTTACAATGGGTTGCAATGCACTTTTTATATCGTAGGTTCCTTATATGCAGCTTACTGATATAAGTGTTTCTGAATCTATAATATTTCATTTTATGATGTGTTAGTACGTCAGGAAATGCACCCACATTTAATACTTTTTGCTGGTTCAGCATGTTTTAGGATTGTTCAGTTAATGTCAAGAGCTGCATCTTCTTTGAATGTACATGCTTGTCTGATGTATCAACAATTTTTTTTCAGGTAATGAAGCTTTGATAATACAACCATCTTTCCCTGTTCCTTTTGTTTTCATTCCTAGTGTTGGTGTTTCAAGATCAAAAGATGTACCACCATTTGGACCACCAATCCCCAAAGGAGTTACTTTCCCTAAATCAGCAGTCTTCCGGGACTTCCTTTTAGCTAAAGTTATTAATGCAGAAAATGCAGCACACAAATCAGAAAAATTTCGAGCCATGGCCACTAGAACACGCCAAGAGTACTTGAAAGACCTTGCAGAAAACTTCGTTACTACAGCAACAGTAGACACGTCGGTCAAATTTAGTTTTATTACACTGGGAGCAAAGAAAAAAGAGCGAGTCAAACCAAGAAAGGATGCCCACTTATTCAGTGTTGGAGCAGTGATATGGAATGTTATAGCACGGGATTTTGGTCAGTCTCTTGACATTGAATGTCTCCTTGGTATCTCAAATGAGTTTATCGTGTTGATTGAAAAGGAATCAAAAAATGTTGTCTTTAACTGCTCCTGTAGAGATGTTATTGGATGGACATCTGGGTTAATGAGTGTTAAAATCTTTTATGAAAGAGGAGAATGCATTCTTCTGTCTGCACTTGATAACTGTGCTGATGACATCAGAGAAGTGGTTCAAAGACTAGAAGTAAGTATGGTTTCTTTTAGTGTTTTCTATTTCAAAATTTACTATCAATGCTAAATATACATAGAGAGATGGATAAATGTAATACTTGACTGCAGAATCTGGTAACCAGAGTTTGGCTGACATGTCCACATATACAGTCTCTACAAGCTTAAATTGGAAACCTGAGAATTTCCTGTCTTGAAAGAAATTACTGTGGTGTTGACAGACTGTATGTAGCATGAGGTGTGCAGATTTCCAAAATGCTTCATGAAGAAGTCTAAGGGAGTAGTATGTAAGATAAGTAGGTTCACTGACTGTCTCTTCAAGTTAACCTAACTAATGACTTGGGTTTTTTCCTGCCCCAGTTTTCCCATGTTTGAAGTGTGACTACTTTGCCTCTGGAGAAATTGTCAAATGCAGTTCTTCCTCGAAGCAGACACCATCCCCTAAACATCCAGGACAGAGAACAAGCTGTAGGCTCTTTCTCCCTCCTTAGTTGTGTTGTGACTCAAGCAGTTTTGCCAAAATTGGTGATGGAACTACTGTTTCGAAAATTGTGTGGGACAGGGAAAAACTAAGGTTGCCAACTCAGGCTTGGAGAATTCCTGGAGGTTCTGGGGGTGGCCCTGGGGAGAGCAGGGTTTGGGAAGGAGAGGAACCTCAGCAGGGTATAATTTCATAGAGTCTACATTCCAAAGCTGCCATTTCCTCCAGGTGAGCAGACAGATGTAGTTTGGAAATCAGTTGTAATCCTAAAAAAACTCCAAGTACCATTCAGGCAACCCTAGCCAAAACATGCATTGGGCTAGCCATATTACAGAGTGAAGTGAAAATCTGTGTTATGTCATGAAGTATATTTATATCTTAAATAAATGTAGGTTTACGATCTGCCTTTATGAGAAAAAAGATGAAATCAACAAAACCCTGCTTTAGCATTTTGTCAAGGCAGACCTGACTCAGTCTGAGAATTTTGCTCCCTGGAACAAGATCCTCTTTGATAATGTAACCAAGCGTAAACTGGGTTTGATTCAGAAAACTCCTCACTAACCCATACCATAAAGCAAAAGAAACCTTTACTGAGGAAGTTTTAAGACAAGGTTGTAAAAGCAATACATATCATTCCAGTGGCAGTTGAAGTACAGAGAAAATAACAAAACTAGCTATCTGCATACTTAATTCTGCAGTGTAGGTATGAGCTTCTCATAACTGAAAGCAAAGGTGTTCCAGAGCATACAGCTACAGTCCATAGGCAACATGAATGAGTTAAAGGAAAGGAAGGAAAAAAAGAAATGCAAAAAGATGTACCCTCCCATCATAGGCTATACTTTATAGAAAAAGCAGGCCATAACCTCCTGACCTTCCCCAACCAATCATGAAGATGTTTCTGAGGAACATTCTGGATATAACTGCCTGTCAGGTATAGGATGGGGGAACATGTTTGAAGCCATAGGGAGGCTGGGCCAGCAGCTTTGCTTCACCTCACAGGCAGTTGGCCACTCTTGATTTTCTCAACTGTCATTAGCTCTCTCTAGTCCCCTGTAACTGTTTTTTTTTTAACCTCAGAACACTGAGCTCTGCAGCTGACCAATCAGAGAGTGGGGGGTGCAAGGAGGCAGCTGCCTGGCAGTCGCATAGGGAATCAATGTGGGGAGCGTTTTACCCCTTTTGACCCCCTTAGGGATCGAATTTCTAAAAATCCCTTCTTAGTGAGCACCTACACCATGGTAGGAGCGCTCTCCCCGAATTTGGTGTCTCTAGGTCCAGCGGTTTGGCCTGGGCATTGATTTTATGATGAGGGGACTTTCTTTTATATATATAGAAGAACAGGTGAGTTCAGGAAAACACCACAATTATTTGTCTGTTTTGCTGTGTGAGCCCAGACGATATCTGGGAAAGGCCATGTCAGCCCAGATGATATCTAGGGGGACTGTCTCTACAGTCAAGAGAACCTATGAGCGGGCATCCGTCACTGTCCATTACACATATGAGCACACTCAACAAGGTCTCAGTCAGCATCTGCTGCTTTTTGGCCAGGCATCCCATTGACTGTGGTGTGCAAGGCAGCCACCTAGTCATCTGCAGACACCTTCATTAAGCATTACTCTTCAGATGTTAATACAAGAAGGGAAACCTCAGTGGGGACAGCAGTCTTGCATTCTATTATCCAGTGAATCTCTCACCCCACCACCTGGTAAATCAGCTTGGTGGTCTCCCTTATGGGATTGCACAGGACAGCGATGATGAAAACAGTGTTGCACTTATCTGTAACTGTTGTTCATCAAGTTGTCACTGTGCAGGCACACAAGTTGTCACTGTGCAGGCACACAACTATTCCTCTATTGTAATTTTTTTTAAATCTCTGGCTCATAGTGGCAGCTCAGGAGAACTAAGCGAGAGTGCGGAGCCCCTCCCTGGAGCACGTGACCATTGGGTGGGAAAATGGCTCCAATGGCTCCAGTTGGGAAGGGTGCCTCCTTCTCTGTTATTAGACTAGCTAAAAATATCTTCTGGTGGCTGGCCTGCACAGTTCCCATGTGTGCCTGCACAGTGACAACTCAATGGACAACAGTTACAGGTAAGCGCAACACAGTTTGTCTACAGATTGTATATGGCATCGTCAGCTTAATCTTATACATATTTCCTTGAAAGTAACTCTAATGGACTTCAGTGGGGCTTACTCCCATGTAAGTGTGCATAGGATTGCTTCCTTACCAAAGAATTTAGCTGAATATCCAAATTCATTTCCCTTTATTATATTTATGAATGTTTCTTTCCTCTTTTTTTTCTTAGAAGAGTTTTTAACAGTGTAACTGTAGATGCAAATTTACTCATATTATTTAAAAACATGAAACTTTAAAAACTAATGTTAGGCTGGATACGAAACCTAAATATTTCAATTTCCCCCCAATTTTTTCCTTTCCCTGGCTTTAAAATATCAGTAAATTGTACTTTTCTTATCTGGTGAGAACATAGATAACAATAGGATACTCTTTCAGATAGTTACCAGAGGATGTGAAACAACAGAAATGACCCTGAGGAGAAATGGCTTGGGACAGCTTGGATTTCATGTTAATTTTGAAGGGATTGTAGCAGATGTGGAGCCATTTGGTTATGCATGGAAGGCAGGCTTACGTCAAGGCAGTCGACTAGTGGAAATCTGTAAAGTGGCTGTAGCAACCCTCACTCATGAACAAATGATTGATCTGCTCCGCACTTCTATGACTGTAAAGGTGGTGATTATTCAGCCACATGAGGATGGGTCACCTAGAAGGTAACCTATGGCAATGTATCCCATGTGCTTTTGACATTGATTATTATTTTGCCCTTTCACTGTTGACTTTCTTTCATATGGATTCATATGGATCCACAGAAAAGCAATATTGTTTTGTATCATTGCTAAGGAGATTGTTGCAGGCAGCTAAAGCATTTATGTAGGGATTGTTGTGTTATGCAGTTTTTC